CGCCCAATTTAGTGACACAATTGTATTTACGGGCGTAATAGCCGTCCAAGAGGTCGGTGACGGAACCGATGGCGCACAGCGTTAGGGCTGTCGTGAAGTGCTGTCCGATCACGAGATACCCGATGACTGGCGTGAATGCGATTCGTGTCATACATAATATGTTGGGAAATGTCCACACTTTCTGCACATCACACACAAAGACAATCACAAGACAATTAGTATAGCTATCAATCAAATGGTCGGATCAGTTACGAGATGTAGGAAAGAGATCATACATTGTAATCGTTGGGCAGTTCTTTGGCTACGTTTGCGGTGATGTGAGTGTCGATGGGTTTGTAGGCGACGCGTGGTTTGGGCGACGGATCCGTTGCCATCAGCGCCACCGACGACAGCTCCAGACATGGTTTCGGTGGCCACCGATTGGTGATCACAAATGCGTGCCATTTATGCTTCAGATGATGGCTGCGAAGGCGGCCAACGGTGCGGACCAACTGTTGTGACAATCCGTGAGACAATGAAAACATGCTTTTCGTGGCATTAAATCAATTGTGAAGTGAAATGAAAACACAATTTAAATATCAATTCATTTGTGTTTTGCATTCAATTCAATGCTATTTCACTCATAAATAACATGTGATTTCATAACAACACAACTCTTACGAGACATACATTTATTACGGCTTTTAATGTCAAAAATTACTTCACTTAAAAGTTTGTAAACTTTTAATTAATTAATTATTAGCATTAAGTTGTGATTTAATTAGTTATTGTAATTATTCAATTAATAATTGTAGGATTTAATTGCAATAATAGATGTCAAACATTGATATCGTTGTTATGAATATAAATAAATGAATAATTACTTAACGTAATGTCATTTTTCACAAATCAAACTGTAAGAACATGATGAAATCCAAGTCAACTCAAGTTGATTCACTCAATGTACCATGTGTGTGTCATAAAGTAGCAGATAATGCGGGACAAGGGGTGACATATTTTCAATATTAGTCAATGTAAAATATGGGGGATTAGGCCCTGACTCCTAGTGTGCACTTTGGCCCACAATTTGTCACAATTCACTCAAATTCAATACACAATATTCGCGTCCCAACGACTCCACAATAGACGAGTTTAACTGTACATTACAGCCAATTAACTCATTACAAACGTTGTGATAATCACATCACCCCCTAA